ATATATATATATATATATATATATATATATATATATATATATATATATATATATATACAGTGTGTCCCTAAGTTTGACAACAGCAAGAAAACTCGGCGGGAGAGCATTTTAGAGAAAAATGTTTCCAACAAAAGTTGTAAGGCTTAAAAAGTCGCATTTAATGACAGTAGTTATTTGACCTATGATGGCGTCACCAAGGTCAGGACAAGGTCAATTTTGCTTTTTTAGATAGAAATACATACTTTTTATTACGGTATTTTATTCCACGTGAAAAAGCAAACAACTTTTGTTTGAAAAAATTTTTTATACGACCTCTATTTTCTAAGATATTTACGTAAATATCTTAGAAAATAGAGGTCGTATAAAAAATTTTTTCAAACAAAAGTTGTTTTTTTTTTCACGTAAAATAAAATGCCATAATAAAAAGTATGTATTTCTATCTAAAAAAGCAAAGTTGACCTTATCCTGACCTTGGAGACGTCATCTTAGGTCAAATAACTACTGTCATTAAATACGACTTTTTAAGCCTTACAACTTTTATTGGAAACATTTTTCTCTAAAATGCTCCCCCGCCGAGTTTTCTTGCCGTTGCCGAAATTATGGGACACACTGTATATATATATATATATATATATATATATATGTATTTAATTTCGTTAATTGTTCTTATAAGATTTCTTATAAAAATGTAATTGCAAGGTTGCTTTGTTAAATCTATCTGTGTTTCTTTTTTGTTTACATTTTGTATCGGATATCGGAAGCAAGTTTATTTCTTCAGCTCGATCAGATGCAGATACAGAAAAAAATATGTTTATATTAATTTTAAATCCTAGACAATTTTGATTTTATTGCGCGTTATGTGACTTTAGAGGATTTTCCGTAAAAGCATTCGAATTAGCAACGTTGTCCTATTGGTGAGGAACAAAGAGGAATAAAGACATTGATATGACGTAAAAATAATTATTTAATAAAGGTAGACATATTTTCATTTAACTATGAAAACATAATATAACATAAACGAGCTTTTTCTTCCTCGTTAAATTACAGAATGTTATACATAGTTTATTTGATTTTTACTTAATCAAATTTTTATTTGATTTTATATATGAAATATCATGCGTGGCATTATCAGTTATATTTTCACATACAGTTACTCGCATTAATATTCGGACACCGTGATACTTTAGAAATTATTATTCTTTAAACATAGTTTTTATTAGAATAAGGAGTTTATAGTTTTTTAACAAATTGCAACATTTATTATAGTTGTCAGAAACATAAATTTTATTTATAACATTAGTATAATTTGGAATATATTAAACAACAAATAGAATTATGCTTAATTTTATTACCACAAAAGTATTCGAACACTAAGTATATTTTATGCAGAGAGAAGCCTGAGACCGGCCACGCCATACCCGACATCGCTTTTCACGTTTGTTCGGTGCGTCATTTGCATTTTTGAGGTGGAACTACGTTCCCTACGCCCTTTTTCAGACGCTGAAAATGGGACGTAAAGGCAAAAATACTTCATTTGATCAACGCCAGCTTGTTATTTACTGTTATGAAAAAGGCAAATTATATCGAGAAATTGATGAATTATTAAATTTAAGTAAAAGTATAGTAGAAGATATCATAAAAAGATATATTCGTAAAGATCTCATTGAATCGATATTTCAGAAAGGCCGTCCAAAATTACTTGGTTTACGAGATAAATGTAAAATTATTAAAAAAAAATCCTGATTTAAGTGAGCCACAATTGACTACAGGGTTATATGAAGAGATTGGCAAGAAGGTACATTCTGATATAGTTCGTCGAGCGTTGAAGAAAAACGGTAGAATTGCTCGTAAGTAGCCATTTATAAATGAGATAAATTGTAAGAAAAGATTAATTTTCTCTAAAAAGTTAATTTCTAAACAACAAGAATGGTGGAATGATATAATATTCGCTGATGAGAGCAAATTAAATATTTTTGGATCTGATGGACGGAAAATGTTATGGCATAAAGCAAACGAAGAACTGAAAATAAAAATTTAGGACCAACAATGAAATGCACTGGCGGGAATTTAATGGTGTGGGGTTGTATGTCAACTTCAGAAGTGGGCGAATTAGTTTTCATTGACGGAATTCTGGATAAAAATAAATATTTAAGTATTTTAAAAGACAATTTAATAAAAAGTGCTAGCAATATGAATATATGAGACAGTTTCAAATTTTATCAAGATAATGATCCGAAACATAAATCACGAATAGTACAAGAATATTTATTATATAATTGTCCAAAAATATTACATCCTCCACCACAATCACCAAATTTAAATCCAATAGAGAATTTATGAGATTTATTGCATCGTAACATTCAAACTACACCTATAAGATCGAAAGAAAAACTAAAATTACGATTAGAAGAAAAATGGAAATAGTACATTACATCTTTTACATCTGATTACTTAACAAAAATTATTTCTAACATGTCCAAACGTTTGCAACATGTTGTTAAACAAAAAACTTACGCAACGAAGTACTAAAGTTATTATTATTTGGTTAATATACCGATTTATATTATATTTTGTTAGCGTCCGAATACTTTTGCTGTAATAGAATTAAGAATAATTTTATTTTTTTTAAATATTCAAAACTGAATAAATTATATAAATAAAATTCATGTTTCTGACAACTATAATGAGTGTTTTAATTTTTTGAAAAACTAAAAATTCATCTAAAAAAAAATATTCTACGTACGAATGAATTTTCCTCTAACCTCATGTTCTAAAAGAAATATCTTACAGAAAGCATATTCATTTTTCATTAAAGAGATTTCATCGTGCATTTATGAGATATTATTCTAATTGTGTTTCTCTATATCAAGAGGAATATGTTAATTTGAATGCCGTCACAATGCCGTTTTACGTGCAGTACGAGAGACGCGAAGAACTGTTGTTTTGCTGTGTACTGTCGTGTACAATTGGTGGAAACCAAGTGCCAACCTGGTTTGGCCAGGTTTTAGCAGCTCATAATAGATCACACCCTTCTGATCCCATCAAACACAGAGCATTGTCTTCCATCCATAGCGATTTGGCCTTGCAGTCGATGTCGATGGTTCGCCTGGAGTGATGGTTACCCATGATCTTTTACGCTTAGGATTCTCAAAATATATCCACTTTTCATCACCAGTCACAATTCGATGGAGAAATGATTTTCTTTTGTACCTGGCGAGCAGCATTTCGCAAGTGGTTTTTCGGTTTTCCTGCTGTCTTTCATTCAGTTCATATGGAACCCATTTTCCCATCTTCTGGATCTTTCCCATGGCTTTCAAACTTATGGAGATGGCTTCTCGTGTCACATTTAATTGATCCGCGAGTTGTTGTTGCATTTGAGTGTCATCCTCATCCAACAATGCTTGCAATTCGATGTCTTCAAACTTTTTCAGTGGTCTTCCACGTTCTTCGTTTCTCACGTCGAAATCGCCACTTTTGAATTTTTTAAACCACTCAAAGCACTGTGATTTACCAAGAGCATACTCACCGTAAGCTTCGACAAGCATTCGATGCGATTCTGCAGCAGTTTTCTTCAAATAGTAACAGAAAATCAATGCTATCCGCAAATCGTAGTTTCCAGGCACAAAATTCGACATGTTCAATGCTATTACAAACTATGCTATTGTATGAAACTTGTATTGTTGTGAGTTGAAAATCTTTGTCAGAGATGTCAACAAGGAAATGGCGCCAATGACGCGGTTTGACGGTAATTACATTGACAGCTAGGGCCATCTATGAGCAAATTCCGGTTTTATATTTACAGACCTGGTAGATCGTTACGCATTCGAAACAAAATTGAAGCTCAGTTATACAATGCAGATTGGCGGATTCATTACAAAGCGGTATGTAGATTTTAAAATACGGATGTGTGTAGGCATTTCTGTATAATAGGCAAGTAACAGGTTATAGAGGGAATGTGAAGACGAGGGTAGTAAAAGGAAGAAGAGAATTGGAACACAAAATAATAAAAAGAGAGTGGAACACAAAATAATAAAAAGAGGGAAAAAGAGAAAATAAGATGACTTACTTTTGGAGCTATACTGTGATTGCCAGAAGGGGGAAGTGGGTGGCCGCTGACTTCCGTTGGTCCATGGATGGGTGGTTTCCTGATGGGACTCCGGGGACTCTCTCAGGTTGATGTACGTCAGCGGGTAAATTTCGTGATAATTCGCGCACTGAATTTATCGTTACTCGAGTCACGGTAGTAAATCTCCGAGATGATAGCGAATTGGACTTCTATTTCTGATTGACCTTCTCTAAATACGCGTCTGGTTAACTGGTTCTAATAAATCGTGCGTAAGCGAATGAGCGCGTAAATGCGTAAATGCGTGAGTACACAAGTAAGCGAGTAAAGAAGAAGTAGTAAGTGAGTGAACTCACAACGCGGAGTCATGGTTTTTTAAAGAGTAAAAGTTGGGAGTGGTTTGGGTTGGAAAATGTGAGTTTTCGGCAATCCTAGTTGTTGAATTCGTTAAACGTGATAGGTATGGGGTAAGTTGCAGCCAGTAATAGTTAAGGAATGTGGGTGGAAAAAAATCGCGTGTTTTAGAGAGGTGGTGATTGAAGGATAGAGATAGTGAGGGAATCTTTGAACAGAGTTGTAGAGGATGATGCAAGTCAGGAATTGAATCATTACGGTGTGTGAGACAACGGATATTTCTTTGCTTAAAGTTTGGCGGCTTCCTTTGATTTACAGATAAAGTACTCAGGTCCGGCGGAATATGTTTTAAGAATTAGAAGGGTTTCGGTTGCGTGTTATATTTGAGATTATTGTTAAAACTTTATTGAAGAAATCCTGCAATAAACTGTTTATGGTCTTGTGTTGCTTGCCAGATGCTTT